TTCCTAACCTCCACAGATGGTGTTCCACAGATGGGCATGGCATAACAGGGCAGAAGGCAGAACCGGGGGGAGCAGAAGGCAACAGAGCAGCACAGAACCGGCCAGGACAGATGAGTTGGTGGGGCAGGGTGGAAATGCACAGCGCAGAGGAGTGCAGGACAAGAGACAACAGGATGGGACAGGGCAGGAGATAGTGGCACAAGGCAGGAAAGCAGATGATAGCACAGGGCAGGAGACAACAGGGAGACAGGACTGAAAAGGGAGATAAGGGCCAAGAGAGCTGAGGTCTGAGTGAGTTAAGAAGGACTTTGCCGCATAAAATAGGTGCTAGGTACACACGACAGGTTCTAGAGATGACAGAACAGACCACGACGGCGACAACAGAGTGGAGGTCTGAATGTCGGCTACCAGGTTAGAAAAACACTAAATTTGGTAGCACGCACACACACACACACACACACACACACACACACACCACACACACACCACACACCACACACACACACACACACACACACACCCCACACCACACACAACCACACACACACACCACTTCACACACACACTCACACACCACACACACACACACACACCACACACACACACACACACACACACACACACACAACACACACACACACACACACACACAACACACACACCACACACACACACACACCACCCACTCACACTCTCTCTCTCTCTCTCTCTCTCTCTCTCTCTCTCTCTCTCTCTCTCTCTCTCTCTCTCTCTCTCTCTCTCTCTCTCTCTCTCTCTCTCTCTCACACACAAACACACACCACCGTGAGCCAAATGTGAGATGTTGTGGAACTCTGATCCCAGAAGTATACAGGGCAACACTTATACCGTGTTAGCATTTTAGTCAAAGCTGTTTAAGTTAGTATCCACATTGAATTGGGCTCACCACAGGCAGATCCAACTCACCTTCGTCGTTCCATGAGTAGGCTGCCGTCCAAAGGTAGAACCCCAGATGTTCATTTCTGGCCATTTTGCGTTTTTTATGTCACCTGATTCGTCTTCTCATGCGGCGCTCGGATATTTTAACTGATCAGTTGAATAACCGAAATCACTATGAGTAGATAAATCAGATGGCACAAAAACGCAAAATAGCCAAACATCAACATATCAGGTTTTACCTTCGCGCGGCAGAACTGGCCAATGTGGGACCAGGTCCTTCTCTTCACTGATATCAACAGAGCTACGTGACGGGTTGAGCCCTCCTCCCCCTCCCCCTCCCTCACTGCACCAAAGATGGAATATTATGCTTGTCACACCTCCCCTTGACACCCCTGAAACGATAGTCATCGATGTCACCCAGCGACATTTAACGCCTCAAATCCGGGATCGGCTGGTCATGTCAGTCAACATAGAGTGGGAAGCCTTCGGGCCGGGTGTAACAGCCAGACCTTTTGGCGAAAGAAGCGGAGCAGCAAAGTCACGTGCGGTCGGATCCGTGTCCAGCTCCATGCGACGAGTGTCACTGCCAAAAGTCAAAAGGTCTGGTGACTCACTTGTGAGGCGCAAACAGACCTGTCTGGGGTGATTGAAGTGCTCGACCTGAGGTATGTGACGTGATGCTCGCTCGACCCCTCGCCCGGAGCCGTGGCGGTATATAGAGTGACGGGGCAGCGGCGGAGCGCGGAGTTTCGCTTCAGTCACCAACCATGCGCGTGGTTCCTCTGTTACTTCTGCTCTGTCTGGCGGTCATCGCCGTCGAGGGTAAGCTGTAGATCCTGACCGACTCGTAGCTGTAGGTCCTGACCAACTCGTAACCGTAGGTCCTGACCAGTTCGTAGCTGTAGGTCCTGACCAACTCGTAACCGTAGGTCCTGACCAACCCGTAGCCGTAAGTCCTGACCAACTCCTAACCGTAGGTCCTGACCAACTCGTAGCTGTAGGATCCTGACCAACTCGTAACCGTAGGTCCTGACCAACTCGTAACCGTAGGTCCTGACCAACTCGTGTCATCCCCGCGATGAGAGTCGTGAGTCGTGAGTCGCGATGAGAGTAGGCGCCGTGAGCCAGAGTCTGACCCGGAGTCGCTGATCCCACCGGAGCGTAACCAAGAACAGGTCTGGTTAGAAAGAGCGGAGAATCCCATCCCCGTTCAAGGCCCTCCGTTTCCAAGATCTTGCGACACCCTGCGGGTCTGTTTTGGTCGCGAGGGTGAGCTTTCGTGCTGAAATGCAGGGCAGCCTGTACACTGCATGGATGAAAAGTATCGCCCAGTCATCTACAATTGCGCCTTGGTGTCGTTCGAGGCATGCCGCGTGCCTTCAGTGAGTCGGTGCTGTTCCGCTGGTGACTGGCCATCAGTGCGTCCGCACTATTCCGCCGATGACTGGCCTCCAGTGCGTCACGGCTGGGCCAACAGTGCTAAACATCGCAGTTTGGACTTGACGAACCTGTAAATGGATCTGCACCTCGGGCACAGCGGCACATGGCGAGCCTGCGGTTTGTATGTCCCTGGCCTGCCGTGGGCCGGGTCACTGAGGCCTGTGCGCGAGGCATGTTGTGGCCAGACGAATTTCTGCACACCGGGATGGCAATTTGATATGATCAAACCAAACAGCGAACGATGTTTAATCCTGGCCAGCTAAACCAAGGTGCAGCCGACCGAAGTGCACGGGGTTCAAAATGCAGTCAACCGGCAGCCCTTGTAAACAGCAGATACTAGGTTCGTGTATTGCTCGTAACGGATTGAAGGGTGCAGACACATTCGAAGGCAGCAGAGCGGGCCATGTGCAACGCAGGTGATACGTTGGGAGGGTTAGCAGCCCGGCTTGTACCTCAGCTGACCCTGCCGGAAAGACCACCGGACTGTTGAGTCACGCACTGTACTGACGTCTGTGCAGTGCCTCAGAGTATCGTAGCGTAGCTCATGATGCGTCTCTGTGCACGCATGCGTGTGCATTCAGGCCGGTGGGTGCAAACGCGCCTCGGCCCGAAGAGGTTCCAGTTCCAAGTGCGCAGAGCGCAATGTTCAGTTTGCTTTGCCATCGTTAACGCAGATGGAAAAAGGGGTTCGTCTTGTCCAGACCTTGGACCTACCGCTGTGCCCGGAAGGGAATACCTGAAGAAAATTCCTGAGGTCCCCGAAGGTGCACTGGTTCGACCACAAAGGGATTTACGCCGCGTTCTGTACTCTTGGTAACGGTGTGATGTGATTGTGGCTTAGAAACGTTCTTAGCCCGCGACAGCAGTCATTAACACCAACACTACCTGCATGAAATGCTTCAAAGCATTTCTTAGAGGACACCTTTGTGAAAATTGTTCCTACTTCCATAGCAACGTAACGATCTTATGAGAGTGAAAGTGCTCATTAACAGCACCACTGCACAAGCAGCGTAAGGCAGATGAAGTGAAAAGAAGCGACGTCAAAACATCGGCGCAGATCACATTGTAAAAATACCGAGCGTTTCCGAAGCTCCAAAACAAACATTAGTGCTGCGCCTATTGTGATGGCGTCCCTGGTGACACCCGACTGATCGCAATATTCTTTATTGCGATCGCAATACTCGCAATATTCTTTATTCGCAATATTCTGTATTGCGATCGTAATATTCTAGTGTACTTATTCCAAGAGCGTACTCTCTGTCGTGATGGTGCTGACGTACACGACACCGCCATTGGTGATGGTCATGGCGTACGCCCACTTTGTCATCAACGAGTTCGTTTAGCCCGTGGCCGCCCTTTCCAGGCCCGTGGCCGCCCTCTCCAGGCCTGTGGCCGCCCTTGCCAGGCCCGTTGCCGCTATTTCCAGGCCCGTGGCCGCCCTTTCCAGGCCCGTGGCCGCTCTTTCCAGGCCCGTGGCCGCCCTCTCCAGGCCCGTGGCCGCCCTTTCCAGGTCCGTGGCCGCTATTTCCAGGCCCGTGGCCGCCCTTTCCAGGCCAGTGGCCGCCCTTTCCAGGCCCGTGGCCGCTATTTCCAGGCCCGTGGCCACCCTTTCCAGGCCCGTGGCCGCTATTTCCAGGCCCGTGGCCGCCCTTTCCAGGCCCGTGGCCGCCCTCTCCAAGCCCGTGGCCGCCCTCTCCAGGCCCGTGGCCAGCTCTTTCCAGGCCCGTGGCCGTGTTTTCCAAGCCCGTGGTCGCCATTCAGTGTCTGTAACAAACAGAAGCGTTGTCTGGTCGCGCTCCCCCGGACCCACGTGACTTGCGACGTTGTATGTTGCAGGCGGCAGCCAGCGGTACTGTGGCAGGGGCAAGGACGGCAAATACTACTGCCCGAAGGGTCAAGTGTGCCGTAGCTGCGGCTTGAAGCGCTGCTGCGTGTCCAAGCCCGGTGAGCGTGCTGTGAAGTGACACGGGCTGGGCGTGCGACATCCTTCAGGCGTGCGTCATCCCTTAGGGGTGTGACACCCCTCAGGGGTGTGACACCCCTTAGGGGTGTGACACCCCTTAGGGGTGTGACACCCCTCAGGCATGCGTCACCCCACGGGGGTGTGACACCCCCTAGGCGTGTGTCACCCTCAGGCGTGCGTCACCACTTAGGGATGTGACACCCCTCAAGCGTGCGCACCCCTGAGGGGTGTGACACCCCTTAGAGGTGCTGACACCCCTCAAGAGTGCGCACCCCGCGGGCGTGCGACAGCCATTAGGGGCGGGCGTGTACACCCGAAGTCTCTGTGTGATCTCAATTTCATAGGCGACGCAGCGGGGATGAGGGCAGCTGACGTCATTGGCGTAAGCAGTGACGCAACTAGTCAAACAATGACAAACTTAGCTTAAAATTAAAGCTTACCATAGAAAAGACAGCTTATAATTTTTAACACCTGTAAAATGTGGCTGCTAAAACCTTCTACACAAGGCGTTCTTTCAGCAGCCACCAATGCGTAAAAGTGCGTCGACATTGCGTGTAAGCATATGCAGGGAAGTGCCTATACTAGCGTTTTTTCATTTAATTTTATCAAATTTTCAGCAAACAAATGTCGCCGTTATGGACAACTCTGTGGTGGAAATTACCTCTGCATACAGTGCGGCGATGGGCTCTGCTGTCGCCTTGGAGTCTCGCTCCGTAAGTAGATGACAACGTCGAGATATTGCCAGGTATCTGCAATCTTTCTCGCCTGTGTCGCGTATGCCGCATCGTTCCTCGCGTCTGCTGCAAGGATGAATTAGTTGAAACGTTCGGACACGGAGATGGGGGTTTGCCGCGTCAAAAGTGAGCGAGGCATTGACGTGTTGTGAAACGCTGTTTTCACTGCATTCCATTGCGGAGGCATTCCTTTCCATGCAGCGTTGTATGCAAAATGAATTTTGCAATAGCTGAAGGGTTTCTGGACACTTACCCCCCCCCCCCCCCCAATGGCGGAATCCATGGTTTGGAGGAAATCAGTGAAATCTATCAATATGCCATTTTGCGAACCAGCACCTCAACCAGGTTTTGAGGGAAATTGGACAAACACACATTTGCCTTGAGGCTTGGGCCTGACGGCTTGTGAAATTCAACTGTCAAGGAGCTGTTTTTGTAATAAAACTAAATAGAAAAATTGTATTAGCTAGACTGGCCTTTCCCCCTTAAAAGCATACCAATAGTTAAAAGCAAGCTTATTTCATAATATCTGGCGCTTGCTTCAATGTCTTCAAATGCAGACCGTTTTTTGATAGAATGACAAAAACGAAAACCAGGAGGTATATTCACACTACCAAAAGTTTTCCATAAGCAATTGTAGGTAACCATCTGAAAAGCAGAACTAACTCAATGGGCTTGGAAAACAACATAACGATTTGCTTGCTGTAGTCATTGCTAAATGTCCAGCAAAGCTTTAAGTGGTTGAGTGAACTAAAAATGAGCCAAGCACCTGCTTTTTGCGACATTTTTTCCTAGCTCCCATACAAACTCATCTTCATATCTTTCCTTTGGTAAACCTTTCGCTGACTTTGATGCAAAACTGAAAAGTTTTGTTGTTATAAGAAACCCATGGAATGTGGACAGTGGACAACATTACATCGCCATAGGCGGAACCCTCTGGCATTCTGGTGTCTTTACCTGACGAATCAAATGGGCAAACATCCTTAATCCCGCTGTTCTATACCTGTTTAAGGTGAAAAGACGCTTTGTGTTATCATAATAATTTCTTCTTCTGAAAATAATGCGTCTGCAAAGCTTCATGAAGACACAACTATGCAACTCGTGGAGTACATGCATGGTTCTGTGTGCGTTTCACGCAGTCATGACTATTTTCATCCATCGTAATGCATTTCAAACGCCTTAGGTTTCTAAGCGTTGAGCTAGAAACGACACTTCTGACAGCAATAGAGGTTATAGTCTAGACTGCGGGCAAATAGTCGGTTAATCACATCGTCGCCGGTACCATATGCCATACGGTACCTGCGATGGTATTATGGTATGGTATGGGATGGTATTATTGACATGGACCCATTGGGCCCATGTCAATAATATAGTTTCGCTTACTTTGATGTATTTGACATGATTATTGACATGAACTTATTGGGTCCATGTCAATAAGCATGTAGCTCTGAACAAAAATTGTTGAACCATAACCAAATGTCGCATGAAAGGTGCTGGTCAGATTACTCTAAGTATACTTTTTAGTTGTTTTTTTTTACTTTTTTTACTAAGTATACTAACTTATTATATATAAGTATACTAATTTACCAAGTATACTAAGTGTGGCCACTTCTGCATCAATTCACGCTGCACAGGAGGCCCAGCATGCCTTCATACTAGATGCGCCCAAAACTCTTGAAGGGAGAGGGACGAAGGAGGACCGGCGATGCAGCCGTGTCATACATCATATCGCTAACGGCACATTGCGTCAGGCCCATGTGAGACGCAGAGTTTGTATCCTCTTCGGCTACAGTACGTTGTCACGCGCTGCCGTTCCAGGACGCTGCCGCGCCAAATGCAAGAGGGCAGGATACTACTGCACCTCACGTAACTGCGCCCAGGGCTACTGTTGCGAGAGGTGCTACGGCAAGAAATGCTAACACTGGTGTGCCATCAGCACTAGCTCCTTGCCGTCCACACCACAGCAGCTAAAATGACATGTGGCGACTGCAAGCTGGTGTGCTCACGGGGCGAGCGAGTACAAGCGAGCTGTGGGAGCGCGAACTGCTCTGCCGTGCTCCAGCTAGAGCGAACATTCCCGGGAGAGCTTCTTTCTACCTCGATTTTACCAGCCTGGTCAAACAAGCGCACAGCTTTTAAACGTGATCGCTCTCCGCGCCTCTTTTTCGGTTATGACGCCTTTGGTCTTATGTCAAATACATCCAGCAGCGAGTTCAGTGTACGTGTTTTGAGACATCAGGCGTGCGGTAGCAATGCGAGATCACCAGGACGCTGCGAGCCGGCAGGCGGGGTGATCAGGGACCAAGCTGACCGAGAAGGAGCCAGCCTTCAGAATGATAAGCGGCAGTCGCGACAACCAAGGCAGCCCAGAAAAGCTGATGGACAACCGGGGAATGGTTCGTCCAATCTCTTCTCAGACCGAACGCATCTGAAGAGGCATAGATTGACGGTCTCACTGGTTAAAATGTCTTGCAGCTGCTACTGACGCAGCTGCAAGATGGGGGCAAAGGTGCTACCAACGCCCATAGCTGGCAGCGGGGGGACTGCACACGGACACCGTGCCGGAAGCGTGTCTCCGTTAGTTGAGCAAACACTTAAAAACGAAATTTCCATACGGCTGTGGCCACGGATACCAATAAGCAGCACAACATATGCGGGTATTGGTACGGATATCAGCTTTACAAAATGCATTTCAAGCTCTTAAACGTAAAACTTGTCTCTTAAATTGTACAGAATATACGACGCATCGTGTACCAAAGGCCTTGCTGCAATATCAATAAAACACGTCGGGTAAATGTGCATCCATGGACCAAATATATAAGCACCCGTGCACCATATGGTAAATGGAATCACTGATAATACAATAGATAGCTTCAAAAGGGGCGTAACGCTATCAGGAGTCTCTACTTCCACGAAACTCCGACATGCTACATCACATGCTTGACGTATGATTTGACGCAAACATTTACATTTTTGTAAGTTGTTCAGTGAATTAGCGAAGATCATTATTTACAATGTCGGCGTCCTGTAAAAACAGCGACCTGCTGTTTCAAAAAAAACCTGGAAGATGGAGTTGGATCTTCGGCAGGCAATTTTGAATTCACTTCTGCTGTTGTTTCGAGAAAGGCATGTTGCCGAAATATCAAACCAACTATATCTCCATTCTCCTGGTTTTTCTCCGAGGAACAAGGCTCCTGTCTTATTATATTCTTATTATATATACATGTATATATATATATATAATATATATATATATATCCTCTCTCTCTCTCTCTCTCTCTCTCTCTCCTCTCTCCTACTCCTCTCTCTCTCTCTCCTATCTCTCTCTCTCTCTCTCTCTCTCTCTCTCTCTCTCTCTCTCTCTCCATCACCCGGCTGCCACTATCACTCTTCCCCACAAGAAGCCAAATGCCCGAACATGTTAAGCGCATGGCTCCGGCGCGTAAATGACTCTTAGCAGTCTTCAATGAAAGGAAATCCACAAGGCCCATTGCCAGCTAAATTCTACTGACAATCCTGGCAAAAACGGACCGTAAGCCTGATGTAAAGCGGAGTCTACTAAACGATGAACGCTTACCAACCGAGGTAGAGAGATGTCTATGCCTGCCTCCAGACCTCACATCGCGCACACCCCACGGCCAACGCTGGACAATGACTGTTGGCATCGATCGTCGAAAAGCAAAGAAAACGATAATGCGGGGTGCTTGGAAAACACGCGTGTATCGCACACTTAAATGAAGTCGATTTACTACATATCGATAACGATACATACCGATAGCCGTTACCGATGCACTATCGAGATGATACATAACATCAACTGCAAATCGTAAGTTCGTCACAAGCTTTTGTAAAATGCCGATTAAAGTAAGCTGAAAGGTAATCCCATATAAACTGATGGCAAACTGCTTCAACCAAATCTTGCCATTTGTTGCTGAAATATCTCTTCCCATTTTTTCACGCTACGTAGCAGTTTTTCCGAGCGTCAAGGTAAGCGCCCGGTCAGCGACTTGCCAGTTCTAGGAACAGCAAGAAGGCTTCGCAGCTGTTGACGCTGCACCTGGGGCTGGGCTGGACTCTGGAGTCGCTACACTTGCACGTCACTCAAGGCCGGTGCCTGCACGTGAGCCGACTGGTGCCTGAGAACGCCACGCCGGAACAGTCGGCCACGCCGTCCAGGCCGCACCCGCGGCTCCCATTCATCCAGAGTAACAACATTCTGACATACCACCTGATGTGAGCACGCTGTACTTTTGTTCGTTGGAAATTCGTGCAAAAAGTGCTTTGTCTGTTTCTGAATTGGTTTGATTCTTGCCTTTGATGAAAGTTGGACGTATCCCGTAATTCCTACAAAAAATTTGATTATGTTGCCACGGCTTAAAGCCATGGCAATCCATCAGTAGATTTGAGCCTGACTCGTCCGCATATTAACATGTCCTCATTATAAAGTGTGCTATGCAACCGAGGACGTAGAGATGCTTAGCACTTACCGAAGGCTGATTTACATTTTTACATCACCTGGCTATCTGGTTTTGTTAATATACATGCTCTCGCAATGATGGCTTTCAGCTAGTTAGGTACCTTTTTGGAAACGTGCAGTCACAGCGTGGTGGCTTGGCACGGTCCTTGTTGCTGACTGTAGCCATGCGCATACTTGACTGGTGGGTGTTTTTGTAAGAAATTAAACCTTAGGACAGTAGAGACACCTGCAATATGAATGTGATCCTCGAAAAAGTTTCTTGAAGCATTCAGGCGTCTTTTGTATTGCAATATGGAAGCTGGCAAGCGAGTAGGTGCACGGGCGAGCAGGGCCCGCCTACCGTGAATAGCGGATGGGGAAAGGTCCCGCCATGCGGGTGCAGGATGACCACTTTAAAATAATTTTTCCCCGGAAGGCTTGAGCCTGGGCGATTGACGTCACCTCAGGTGACATTTGTTGCGTCTCCTTGGTGGCAGACGAACGTTTTGTTTGTCTCCAGGCGAAAGAGCGTTCTGGACTCATGTTGCTGGTTGTTCTGGGACTCACAGTTTTTGCTAGCGTTCTGGACTCACGTTTGGCTAGCGCTTCTGGACTACGTTGCTATCCAAGCAAGCTTTTATTCTAACTAGACCGTCCCTGCTTGCCGTTACGAAGTAATGGTACAATTTGTTCTCACATCCTTCAAACATTCATATATCAGCTTTCGCGAATCAGAGGACGAAAGCACTGCCACAACTATACAGCACTTACTGCAACGGTAGGGACTGTGGAGAGGTTCACGGAAACAAGTGAAGAGTCATCGGTTTCAGCCTGTTGTGTCAGGGTAATAGGAGCAAGACACCCAGTCTGCGTTCCCAGGCATCATCAGCAACATGAGCTTTGAGCAGTTCTCACAAGACTACACTCGTTCACAGAGAGGCACTGCAACAACATCGTGTGATTGTTGTTCTTACAACCAACACAGGCAAGACGCTTACAGCCAATATGGCTTTGGCGCTTCACGTGGAGGTCATTGCTCTCAGTCCTGTTCATCGAGCTCCGTTACAAAGGTGAGGTCAGAGCCCTTTAGCTTCTCAGCCATCCACTGTCGAATGTCTCGGTCATCTCTGAGTGAAGTAGTTCTTCCAGTTGCCCGTCTTCCCCTGCCTGATGAAGTCTCCTCGATCCGGATGAAAGAAGCCAAGCTTTTTTGCGAGATGGTTGTTGACGAACTGATTCTTCCTGAAGTTGTCGATATGCAGATGACTTGCCAGCTTTTCTACTTGCTCGTCAGTGCACGTCTTGCCCAGAAAACTGGGCCACTTTACGGATCTGCTTTGGCAGATCCCGCTTCATGTCCTCAAAGAAGAGGAAGCACAAGTTCGGGTGGTGACGCCGGTTCCACGCCTCGATCATGTGCTCGATGAATGGCGTCTC